TTTAAAATTTTCTTCCGGAAAATTTTTAGCATTCAGGAGGAACTTCCTTTTTTTTTCAGACCCTATTTCCAGCCCTGCTTACATCACACCTTCGCCCATTTTTGTATTCAGCACTCTTAGTGGTCGGACAGTAAGATTCTCCCCTTAAATGCATAAATGTGATTATATTCAGTAAGAGCAGTACAATAGACAAGTTAAATCAACTATTACTAACCATTTTGTTCTTATATTAGTAGATTGTATCAGTGTCTCGATAATGTACCAACAAGCCTTAATTATCACATCGATTTCTGTATGTGAATCATCTAAAAAACTTTCAATATTTTTACTTTTAAAAATACTAATGATAGGAATTAATAAGTTTGCAACCCACAGTTTATAGAAAATAAAATATCAAAATTTGCAACACTCACAAATTGCTATAAATTTTGCTTATTCTAAAAATGCAATCATTTTCTTGGGATTTCAAATGTGTTTCTAGAGACTTAATATAAGCCTCTTTTACATTTCCACTAAAAATCAACTGCACATAAAATAATGAAAATATAATTACAAAATAAAAGAAAATCAAACAAAAAGAGGAGAAACCACAAACTTTTTCAATAGATGAAATAAATTCTTCGACATCTTCTGGAAAACTTGGAATCTGCAGAATATTTTTATGATCTTTTAACATAAAATCCCTTTCCTCCATTGTAAACCAAGATTTCATGTTTGCAGATAGGTCTATTATACCGGATGCTCCATATCTTAATGTTGCTTTTTCAATAGGTGTTAGTCTCTTTTTGTTCTTGATTTTTACATGATTAGAACTGATGTTTTGGTGAAAAATCTCTGCAACGCCTTTTTTGGTTGGTAAAATCCATTTACTTTTTATTCCAAGAAAAAAGGCATCCTGTTCTTCCAACTGAGGAAGACCTTCTTCTTCTTTTTCTTCATCATTTTCATATTTACCATTATTATCATCATCTTTGCTACCATCAATTTCATCATCTTTATCACTATAATCATAATCTTCGTCATCTTCATTGTCAGTTTCATAAAGTGAAAATGGTTTAGATACATCTGAGAGTGAATGACTATATGTAAGTGGCTTCAAGGAAAAAAAAATAGTGTGAATGGATTTATATATATATATATTTAATGTAATTTTAACATTTTAGGTGATATGCTACACATAAGAACATAAAAGAAAAAAAATTGATTATATTCAATAAAGCATCTCACACTTATCAATGGGCTATATTCATATCGATATCGTTGTCTTTTTCTATCAATTAATTTTATTTCATCGAATCTTGAGGAAAAAATATAAACATTTTTTAATAGTATTAAACTAGAGTGACGATGAGTGGCGAACGATAACCACCACCACCACCATCCTTAAAACACTTACCCAGAAACCTCAGCTTTGTTTTGTTGTTTGCTTCTTTTATTTTTATAAGTAGACATTTTAAAATAAAAATTTTAAAAGAAGTTTTGTTATGATCGACGCGTTCACATTAATTATTTATCCTATAGGTTTTTTTTGGTAGGACAGACACGAAATTGATTTTTTTTTTCTTTTTTGGAAAAACAATTTACTTTTTGACAGAGTCCAAGGTGACAAAACGTGAGTGATGTTTTTTGGTTTGGTTTGGTCTCCTAAAGAAAACGTGTTAATAATAGAGGTACTTTTTTTTTACTTGCATTGATATAATGTGGTATCTTTTTTAGTTTATAAATATTTTAATTGGAAATCAAAATGCGGAGCAGATCTTGCTGGGTAATTACAAGATTTTCATTGATAATATT